GTGGGGGGGGAAGCAACAGGTCCTCACCAGGTATAGAAGCCTGGCAGTGGCAATTCTAGAAAAGATAAATCTCAGGGACTATCAACAGTATCAGCACTAACTAGAGGCTTGCTGGTGTGTTTCTTTCTTAGGTCCTTTATTTCCGAGCACTAGGCATTAGGTTAGTGTGCCAAGCACAAAGTCTGCAGCTCGAAGGTCCCATCCGCTCGCTCCACGGGAGACAGATGTCCTACTGGGTCGCTGGGCACCAGAAGTGGCCCGAGGGCAGTGGGGCTGGGGGTTCCTGTGCAGGATGGAGGCAAACTGTGGGGCAAGCACTGCGGGCAAGGGAAGTGACAGGCGGTTTTCCCAGGGAAGGGAAGGGAAGGCTTCTCCTTCCAGGTGTAACGTGGGCCCCCCACGGCTGTGGGCTCCAGCCGACTCGGACCGGAGCCCCCCTCTTGGCTGGACGAGTGGGCCTGGCGACTCCTCTGGAAATCAGAAAGTTCCTCCCGGAATTGTGGGGGTTCCGAGAGCGCCAAGGAACGCACCTGCCCGGGGTCGCGCTAAGCTCGCCCCGCGGCCCCCGGGAACGCTCTTTTTCAGGGTTCACCTCGTCGCCCCAAGCCGAGTACCGTGCCTGGGATCTCGCGGACGAAGGGGACGTGTCTCCCGACTGGATCCAGGCACAGAAAGCCTAGCCGGGCGGATGAAAGGCAGAGCGGGGGACCAGGGCGAGACTGCGGGGAGGCGCGCGGCCGCAGAGCGAGAAACACGCTTCCGATCGGGAGCCCCTGGGGGGGAACCGGGGAGGCAGAGGCGGCCCGGGGCGGGGACGAGGGAGGGGTCCTCCACGAGCCGGCCAAGCGCCCGGTCGCGCCTCGAGGGAGCGTCACGACGGCCACGCGAGGAGGCACGAGGAGGGCGCTAAGGGAAACGTCGACAGGGAACCGGGAGGAGGGGAAGGGATTGGGGGTGAGGGCCCCGGAGGCCCAGGGCCGAGGGATGAGGTGAGGAACCGGCCCTCCTCTCCGAGAAGTCCGCTCCGATCCCCGCGCGCGAAGGAGACCGTTTGGACGTAACCGCCTCCCGTCTCGGCGCCCGCCTCCCGGCCACATTTCGCGCCGCCACCTCCGGCTCCCAACTCCCGCCCCGCTTCCGCTGGGTTCCCAGCCCGCGCCGCCCAGCCACCCGCCGCCAACTCAGCCCGCCTCGTACCTCACAGACACCTCGCCGGCGGCTGCCGCCATCTTCCCGCGCGCGCACCCCGGCCCCGCCCCCAGACGCCGCGCCCACGTGACCGCCCGCCCCGGGCCGAGCGTGGGGGCGGGGCCGGCGTCACGTGCGCGAGGGGCGGGGCTACGGCGGCGAGGTCCCGGGAAGTGAGGTACGTGCGGCGCCAGTGGCCGCGGCCGTGAGGAACGTGGCCGAGGGGCGAACCTCCGCCCGCCGTACACTGGAGCCGGTTGGGGAGGAGACCCGCCGTGGAGCTTCTCGCCTCGCAGCCGGAGCACGGAGGGAGACGGTTACTGGCCGGGTCAAGCGGTTGTCCTCGGCCACGGCAGCCCGCGTCCCGCCGGCCTTCCCGGGGGCCTCGAGTCCAGGGACATGGCCCGAGATAAGGTCGCCGCGACCCCGGGGGCGGGCGCTCCGGCGAGCGGGGCGGTGCTGGCAGAGGCGGCGGTGGTGTTCGCCATGGTGCTGAGCGTTCACGCGACCGTGTGGGACCGCTACTCGTGGTGCGCGGTGGCGCTCGCGGTGCAGGCGTTCTATGTGCAGTACAAATGGGACCGGCTGCTGCAGCAGGGCAGCGCCGTCTTCCAGTTCCGAATGTCCGGCAACAGCGGCCTGCTGCCAGCCTCCATGGTCATGCCTTTGCTCGGCCTTGTCATGAAGGAGCGCTGCCAGGCGGCAGGGAACGCCCACTTCGAGCGCGTCGGCATTGTGGTGGCAGCCACCGGCATGGCCGTGGCCCTCTTCTCATCAGTATTGGCGCTGGGCATCACGCGCCCGGTGCCCACCAACACTTGTGTCATCTCGGGCTTGGCCGGAGGCGTCATCGTGTACGTTATGAAGCACTCACTGAGTGTGGGGGAGGTGATTGAGGTCCTGGAAATCCTGCTGATCTTCGTGTACCTCAACATGATCCTGCTATACCTCCTGCCCCGCTGCTTTACCCCGGGAGAGGCACTGCTGGTATTGGGTGGCATCAGCTTCGTGCTCAGCCAGCTCATCAAATCCTCTCTGATTGTAGTGGAAAACCAAGGGGACCCGGCGGACTCCTTGCTGCTGGTGGCTGTGGTGGGGATGGTGCTCATGGGCATCTTCTTCAGCATCCTGTTTGTCTTCATGGACTCGGGCACCTGGGCCTCCTCCATCTTCTTCCACCTCATGACCTGTGTGCTGGGCCTCGGGGTGGCCCTGCCCTGGCTACACCGACTCATCCGCAGGAACCCCGTGCTCTGGCTCCTTCAATTCCTCTTCCAGACGGACACCCGCATCTACCTTCTGGCCTACTGGTTTCTGCTGGCTACCTTGGCCTGCCTGGTGGTGCTGTACCAAAATGCTAAACGGTCGTCTTCTGAGTCCAAGAAACACCAGGCCCCCACTGTCACCCGGAAGTATTTCCATTTCATTGTGGTGGCCACCTACATCCCGGGGATCATCTTTGACCGGCCACTGCTCTATGTGGCCGCTACCGTTTGCCTAGCGGTATTCATATTCCTGGAGTACGTGCGCTATTTCCGAATCAAGCCCCTGGGCCACCCTCTGCGGAGCCTCCTGTCCCTCTTCCTGGATGAACGAGACAGCGGACCACTCATCCTGACCCATATCTACCTGCTCCTGGGCATGTCTCTTCCCATCTGGCTGATCCCTAGGCCATGCAGTCAGAAGGGTAGTCTGGGAGGAGCACGGGCCCTAGTCCCGTATGCTGGCGTCCTGGCCGTGGGTGTAGGCGACACTGTGGCCTCCATCTTTGGCAGCACCATGGGAGAGATCCGCTGGCCTGGCACCAAAAAGACTTTTGAGGGGACCATGACATCTATATTTGCCCAGATCATTTCTGTCGCGCTTATCTTAATCTTTGACAGTGGAGTGGACCTAAATTACAGCTACGCTTGGATTTTGGGGTCCATCAGCACTGTGTCCCTTCTAGAAGCATACACTTCGCAGATAGACAACCTCCTTTTGCCTCTCTACCTCCTGATCTTGCTGATGGCCTAGCTGCTGTGCAGCCACAAGGATGGAGGAAACAGGACCCCGGGTAGGATGAATGGCCCACCCCGTCCTCACAACCGCCAGCCACTGGGGCCTGAGGAGCCAAGGGATGAAAAGCAGATCGGATTTTTAGGTTGGTTTTCAGATTTAAAATAAAAGTCACAGCTCTCCTGCTTTAGTTTGCTGGTGCTTTACATTAAGAAGAGAGAAAGAAAATAGCGTAACCACTCAAAAGAACTTGAGTGTGCTGTCGTCTCCCCACCCCTTACCCCACCTTGCAGCCCTCCGATGAATGGGGCCTCAGAAGGGAACACTGGAGAGTGGCAGTCAATCAAGCCTAGTGGTGAACATTTCAGATTCTGATTAGAGCCCTTGGTTGCACCACTTATTAACTGTGTGAGCTCCTTTCTCTTGTCTGCAAAATGAGAATCGCAGGAGGCACCGCCTGGGGCTGTTGAGAGGACCCAGTGAGATGTGGTGTGTGAAGTGTCCAGCCCCAGGCATAATGAGCACTCGGTCAGGGAGAGTGGCCTTGGTACCCAAAGCCAGTCTCATCCCAGCAACAGAAGCCAGAGTGACTTGCTTTTCCTCATTTGAGCGAGGAGAATCAAGGGGGAAATGACTTCTCCCCCGGGGGCTAGGGAGAACTGAAGGACAGAGGCAGAAATGGCTGGTGGCACGCATGGAGGGGCTGGGGGACAAGGATCAGGTCCTCAACTGATGTCCTGTCTCAGCCATCCTCTCTACCCCCACCTCTCAAGTCTCCATCCCATCAGGGAAAGGCCTGCGCTGCCTGGCTGAATGGTGCTAATGGGCTGGACAGCACAGGGCCTTGTCAAGGGATCCCTCCTGAAACTCCAGTCCCACCAAACCTGTGTGTGTTTTTTCCCTTGGCACCACACTGAGCCTAGAACAGGTCCGGAGGGGCTGAACTCTGGGACTCTGCCTGAGCAAGGGGCCTCCAGAAAGCCCCAGCCTGGCTTCCTGCGCCCCGCCACATCGCCCAGGGCCAGCACGGAACCCAGCACATGTCCCGAACTGGAACTCGAGCAACAGTGGCCGAATGGATGACCATTTCCTGTCAGCAGGAAGGTAGCTCTGCTGAACAAGGCTCTCCCCAGTTGCCATGCAGTCTTGTAGGGAGAGGCCAAGCAGAGAGGGGAAAACTCTGGACCAACAAGGACAGGCGCCAGGAGCAGCTCTGGGGAGCTTGCACTTGTGTTGGAGAAGCATGCCAAGCCCTTTCCCTCAGAAGAGACCATTGAGACATCCTTTGGGGAACAAAAGAGACTTAACAGATCTGCCTCTTCCTGCAGGCTCTCTTCTGCTTGCTTACCAGAGAAGGCAGCAGTTTTGCCTCACTGATTCCCTGGGGTTGGGGTTGGGGTTGGGGTTGGGGGGGTGATCTGGGGAAAAGGACTTTCTCCTCAGGACCTTGCTTGCGCCATGTATAGAGTGGCGGGCCAAGTAAATCAGGGTGACAAACGCTTCTGCCAAGGCCAAGCGGGGACCAGATGAACAAGGGCAGAGAAGAGGGAGCCACGCTGGACCAGAGAGCACACGTGCAGCTCTAGCTGGCAGCCATTGGGCAGGCCCGATGTTGTCACTCATTCAAGGGAAGCCTAAGAGCCTGGATTTTTATATCAAACCTCCCAATTACTAAGAAAAAGAAAAGTTTGGGCTTCAAACAAAACACCGCTACGGTGTATCTGGCCGGTGTACATATGACCTCTGGGCCAGACCTCCGTCTGTCGAGGCTTCAAGTGAAGCAAGATTTGCATTTGGCAGTTGTTCCCACAAAGGCCTGCGCCTGTTCATGCCCACACTCATCTTGAGGGCAGGGCTGTTTTTTGGGGGGGAAGGGACCCAAAAGCTGCATTTGCAAGTGCTTTTTATTCAGGGCCTCACAGGGTATAAACCAGAGATGCATTTTGGGAGGACAGACAAGTGAGAGGTTCAAGGGGGAGGGGGTGTGGGGCAGGGAGAGATCCTGGGAACACCTCCCAGCCAGGAGAGCAGAGGGGAGTTTGCTATCAGAGCTGGCAGCGCTGGCCCACCGGCCAAGTCTGCAGCCTCCCCTGGGAGGGGCAGTGGCCCAGTCCTGCTAAGACCATCAAGTGTACAGTGGAGGAAAGGGCAGCTCAGCTGTTGGCTGAAGCCTGCAGAGGACAAAAGAAAAGAGATGGCCTTAGAGCGGCTGTCATGGATCCCAGCCTCCAGCATGAACTCAGGGAGCCATCAGGAAAGGACACACAGCTGCCCTACCAGTTCTCGGGGCTCCAGACAGTGCCCACGGCCTCCATGAGGTGGAAAGTGTAGGACTGGCGGGAGCAGTCGGAGAGATTCTGCTCACTCATGTGCACCACTTCTCCGTGGATTAGGACGAGGGCTCCTGGCGAGGATCCAAGCAGGCCATACCCCTCCTGGGCCTGGGAGGGCACCAGCCCACACTCCCCCTCCCCAGGACATGAAGGGACACAGGTCCTTCTCCCTTAAGCACTTCTGTGCTCCCTCCCCATCCATCCTTATTCCCATCCCTAATTACTCAGACCCTACCACCGGCTCCAGACTGTGCTGTTTAGAGTCTGGTTCCCCTGGAATCAACTCCCTTCTAGGGTAGCCTGTGCCCCTGGCAAGTCTTAGGAATAAGCTCTCCCTACTGTGCCAATCAGCTATGACCTGGCCCAGGCACAGTTGCCTCTTCTAAAAGAGTGGACTGAGAGCCAACATTGGGTGAACACTTGCTGGGTGCCACGTCACTTCAGTGAGGACTTGCTAACTCATGCTGTTGGGTGCCGGTGAGCCCATTCTGACTCACAGTGACTCTGAGTGACAGCAGAGCTACCCCCAGGGTTTCCACAGCTGTAACCATTACAAGAGCAGGCAGCCACATGTCTTTTCTCTGCCCAGAGAGTGACCAGTGGATTCAAACCACTTAGCAGACAAGCACCGCCCAGGCGCCTCCTCTCCCACTCTAACCTGGGGGAAACAGGCTCAGAGAGGGCCGGCCCTCTGCCTAAAGAGTCAGCCCATAAGTGGCAGCATCTGGACAGGAGCCTGCACCAGGGAACCTTGCTGTTAGCCACAGGGCTAACCACTGGCCGGGCCCCGCCTTCTCTCATTCTGTGGCTTTATAGGCTCCCGTGACCCTGCGGTAGGGTTAGGATGAGGAAGGCTCCACGTGCCAGGTCCAGGCCCCGTCCTGGCTGGCCCTCTGCAGTCAGCCTACCTCTCCGCACAGGCGTGGGTACAAAGAGACTGTTCTCCCGGACCGGCTCTGAGCCCAGAAAGCTGGTGCCAGGCGCTGAGCAGGCAGGGTTCCGGACCATCCTTCTTGACACTCCATCTGCAGGTAAGTTGGAGCCATGAGCCTCTCTTTGCTCCGGGGCACTCTCCATGGGGCGGAGGAGAGTCACGGGATGGGCGGGTAGACCAGACAGGTGTTCTCACTGGTATGGGAGCCAGGGATGAACCAGAGGCAGCCGTTCTCCAGCGTGGCATCCTCCAGTGCGATCCACATGCCCAGCACCCGGCCCAGGGGCTCCGTGTACAGGAAGGAGGCGTCCTGGTGAGGGGAGACTGCAACGGGACCACCTTGGGGTGAGGTGCCCACCCTGTTGGCAGGCCCCACTTTTCACCTTGCCTACAGCCCTGGAGGGCCAGCCTTCCCACAATCAATTAGAACCTCGCCCCTCCTGGTCCAAGACATTGGGGCAAGAGATTTCACGTCTCAGGTTTGGACCTCCCACCCTGTAAAGTGGCGCAGAAACCCGCTTAGGGCTGCTAGAAGATTACATGGGACGATGCCTGAAAGGTGCTTAGTACAGGGCCTGACATTTGCTTGCCCCAAAAAACTGCTATCGTTTCATTTCAGCCAAGTTGCCAAAACTCCTGCCTTAAGCAATGACAAGCAGGCGGTCCCCCAGGCGGTCTAAGATAGGAAGCTGGGGGCCGAGGGGACATGCTGTGACCAAGCATCCATAGTTTAAATACCTGCCCACAGACACTGGGGACCCAGCAGGATGGAGAGCATTGGGCCAACTTTGCAGTAACCCAGTAAAGGCAATGCTAGCCTCCTCGCCTTCCTGCCTGCGGAGCCTGGCGCTTTGCTGAGCACCAGCCTTTTACAGGCGGTTTTGATAAGGCCTTATAGTGATGGGCGCTCCACGAAGCCTTTGGGGTGGCCTGGCTGGAGGAATGGGGGAGGACACAGTCATTGTTCCAGAGGACTGCCCTTGGGCAAAATGGCAGGGAGGAACGATGGCCACCAGGTGGTCCAGACTTGCGTTCTGGTGAGAAAAGGAGAGGCTGCTATGTGGAAGGTGAGCTCCCTGTCAGCAGAGGTATTTAAGCAGAAGTGGGGTGGTAACGGCATCTGTGAATCTCGGGCGGGAATGAGAAGTAAATCAGGAATTGGTAGCTGTCATTAGTTCCTGGGAAGTTTGCTAAAAGAAAACAGACTCCCAGGCCTGTGTAGCCCTACTGAATCAAAACCTCAGGGCTGGGAGAGCGGAAGC